ACGTACATAAAATGTTTTAATAACCGATTTCATACTGTCAACAAGTAATTCCAGAATTAACAAGTTGAACTTTACCAGAGTTCGTGTATGTTCTTTCAGTCAGACCAAAAGATACGCATGTGTACTATGTTTTGCTTGTCTGTTTCAAATTTTAGACATATCAAATATACTTTGCATCTTGTATTCATCTTGCACATTCTTACGTGGAAAAGAACACTGGGTTTTAGCTACACCGAGATGAAACATTTGTCCGGTATCTGAAATTGCTTTTTTCTGTTAGCTTAACGTCCATCGACCATAAAACGCACAAAAGTTGCAAGGAACGCAAGCTGTGTCTGTTGCTGAATGACTTCAACATAACCTAGTTGCTTTAAAACTGTTCGTTTCAGTTTAAACCAGCGACGAACACGTCACGAAGCGACCATGTCATTGATTGCCAATTTCTCCCTGAATCCTGACCAAAACAAAGTTTCTGTTTCACTATTTTGCTCCAATAATTTTCAGCTTTCGGTTCCCAGGTCGAAAGTCTCCCGCCATCATAGTTTAAACGACAAGAGTCGCGGTTTCGTTGAACCTCCATTCCACGGCAAATCACGGGGGGTCCTGGCTTCCCTGCCTACCCCTTATAACCTGAGTGCTAACCGTAGACATTCGCAATGCTAGTCCATATTGTTCCACTACAATAAGACGTCTTCAGTAAAGATTAAGACGCAACAAACGGCGACTAGCACATACCAGAGGATGTCCAAACAAGATCCCAAGAACGCCAGTGAAGTTCCTTTACAAATGCATCGCATGCGATTTTATTTTGGAGGCGAGTCCGGAATCCCCGTTCCCGGAAAACCCGAGCTGTTCCCGAATAGTGGCGAAGTGGGCGGCAATACGAACGAACTTTGTCCAGCGGCAGTCGGAGACAGTGGTATGCCCGAAAGCGATGTCGGGAAGGCAGATTGCGTGGGTGACATCAGCGGATTCATTCCTGCGTGCATACAGAAGGGATTAACCACTAGCGAGGTCAACACCGATATTCTCCTGACCATTTTTGACCTATTTGCTATAGTACTCCAACGGAGAACTTGGCTTTTAAGCCTTAATTCTTTCCTATCGGCCAATAAAAGTTTTTAAGAAGCTAACTTATACACTTACCGGTATCCATTTCGTTATCGTGTTCTAACCCATCAAGCTGTGTGTCGGGACTAGGACTGCAGAGGCCTGGAGACGACATAGGAGTGAAGGTAGATGCTAGAGTCAGCGGTCCCATGTCTGTATCTGGCAAAGATCAAGTAACAAATCGTGACCGTGGCTTCTCGCGTAGTTAGAAGGGTTTTTTTTTAGGATTCACGGAAAATCGAGACATGAAACCTATGAAAAAAGCGGGAAAACGTGTTTTCGGCCAAGAGAAATCATGGTCTCTTGATTCGGCCTAAAGCGCGGAAAAGGTAAGCGCGGGATAGCATGCAATCTATGAAAAGAGTGGGAAAAACGTGTGACGAGCAAAAAGCGCGGGAAAATACGTAGCCGACGGTAAGTGCGGGAAAACATGAAACCGCGGAAAGCGCGGGAAACTATGTGACAGGCGGTAAGTGCAGGAAAACATGTTGGCAGTGACAGCCACGAAAAAAGGGGCTAAGTTCGCTCTGGTTTGTTAGAACACGTTTGAAGTGTCGAGAGAAATAATTATCTCCGCCTCTCGTTCCTTCCCTACTAAACAGCACCCTCCTGTTGGCTTAACAGCTCTCTCTCCCCTCAGGGCAAAATAACACGGTTTTAAATCCCTAATTTGGCTGAAGCTCAATAGTTTCCTATTGTGATTATTTTAAGACTTCAGTTACCTTTAAACATTTCTTCATCGTGATCCATCGGAGCCGAGGGATGAAACGTCGGCGTCGGAGTAGGTGTCGGCATCGCTGGTGGCAAGTGTTCTTCTTCTTCCTCCAAGCTAGCAATAGAATCCTCATCAACAGCGGCGGGGATCCCCTGAGCGACACCCGATGGGTCTGTAGTCGTTGATTTACCTTAAGATGAAACAGTACAATTCAAATTAAAAAGTGCGTTTGCGACAAATAAAAGATTGTATGATATAGAAGCAAGACTTAGGTGAAGCGTTAGTTAAAGTTTGCCCGTATACCAGTGGTGTACAGGTTCAGACAAGATTTCCCAGTTAATAGTCGATGGCATCTATTGTCATCACAGTGCCTCTCTCCACCCGTGTGATATGTAATAATCCTATTCAGTACCCCCTACCCCTCGTTGATACGTCTCCCTCCTCGAGTGTCGTTTTTTCAATAAGCGCTACCCCATTGCTTAAGTAACATGATTAGACAAGTGAATCATGTCTGTTTTCTCAGCTAAACATAAAATATTGAACATAATGACTCGGAATAAACAACAAGGTTTTATGACCTTGAGAAACCCTATTGTTATACTATACCCTATACTAAGAAAAGAAATATGAAGCCCGTCCCAAGTAGAGCTTGACACGTTATGCCGGCATAACTTTGAGCAGATAAGTATGGTTGGAGTATCGAGACTAATGCTTGCATTATAGAACCATTTTGCCAGCACAATAGCACCATTTTGCAGTAAAACAATTCTTTTCGCATGTACAAAAAACACTTTCTTACCTGGTTTGTTTTGTGGTTTAGGCAATTCAAACTTGACCCACTGGTATTTGGTACATTTTCGTGCCCCGGGTAAGCTTTGAATCAAGTACTGAATGGTTGGATGAGAGAAACCGAAAAACTCTGGACCCGAACCAGTATTGGAAGCATCCCTACCTCTGTAAGGAGAACAAATGTCACACGGGTAAGTTAAAACAACGACATAAGGTGACCACAGGTGACAAGCGCGATATTTACCTGGCCTTATTGACCGCCTTGAGGACCACGCAGTGACAAGCAGTGGCAGAGGATGCAACGATTGGATGATCTGGGTCGTCTTCAGGGCACATCTCAAACTAGAATCACACAGAATGGATTACAGTCAAAAGTAGTATCGAGATTATGCAAGCAAGCAGCTTTACGGGCGGTTTTGTTCTCGTCAGAACCAGGGCGCTTTCGGCCGGCAGTGACCAAAGGGCCAACGCTCTGGACAAAATCAACAAAACAGAACCAGAAAATCTTGGTTCGGGTTTGATTCCGCGCATGTGTTCAAGTTCAAACATGGTTTCAAGTCATAAGTGCAATCTTAAAGGGGCTCAGTCACGGTATTTTGAGTTATTTTGGCCACATACAAAATTACCTTTAAATGGTGGGGAACCTGAAAATAACAGTTTAATAAGATAGAAAAACACCAAAGAGATAATGATAAACTATAAAGGAACAAGGATGGCTAAGGATGGAGAAGATTGACACGGATTACAAACGACGAATTTGAAAAATTGAGGCTAAACTTTTCAATATGCGCAAACCGTGACTGAGCTCCTTTAAGCTATTACAGGTAGAACAAGACTCAAAATCCTGAGCACCTGAGGTCCAAACCCTCCGTCTAGAATCTTGCAGGTATAAATACACTTCATCTCTGGATTCCTCATGCTGGGGTAAGTCCTGGAGCTGCAATAACCAACAGGCCAAATGTAACGCTCCGAGTGGAAACCAGGTCTGTCGTGAACAATCTGTAAACCAGCTATAGCAGTCAATTAGTGTGCAAAGAAGCCGTGTCCGATAGCCTCGGGCTAGTGGATTCTGTTACAGAAGTACTGTAACAGATTTTTTTTTTCTCTTGGGGGAGGGCGGTGGGGTGAGATAGGGGTCCTCGAATCGCTTTTGGGCTAGTATTAAAATAATAGTGTGACCTTGGCAGAATAGCAAGTCCGAAATTTTGTTTTCTTTGCACCCAGTCAGTGCAAGTATCTTTAATACATATATTCACTTGCACTTCCACCATCTACATAACTCAAACAGCTCCTAGTTGGCTTGATAGCTCAATTGGTAGAGCACTGCATCAGTGTCAAAGAGGTCATGGGTTCGCATTCCGTTCAAGATTGAACTTTCTTCAGGTTTTATTTTAAGAACTGATTCAGTAAGTTGTGTACATAACTGCGATCATCATTCATGTCTTGGAGTTTTGACAAATATTAATAAAACAGACTCTTCATAACAACAGAGCAAGAGATCACACTCTCGCTCCAAGTTCACTTACCTCACCAAGACTGTGGACTGTAAGACCTCCCAGGACAATAGGAAATATGGGTTTACCTGGGTGAGAAGAAAAGCACAGAAAGGAAGCATTTTCAACGGTAGCTGTTTATCATTTTAAGTCCAAAAAACCTATACGGCCTAAAAGCTTCTAATTATCTGTTGACAACGTTTTTACACAAGATGCTACTATGAATCAAGTGACGTTCAATAGTTTCAAGGTTAGAGTAAGATCCTACTTGTTTGGTTGCTGGAATCTAACCAGCGATCTTGACAAGGACACTCGTAAATTTATATTCAGACTCTATTCGATCTTCTCCTCTCACCAAGTAGGCATACTATTTCTAGAACGTTTGTGTTAAACGACGATTACTACAAGTAAGTACAGCATAGAGAACACATAATCTATTTTTGTTTAGCTTTGTTACCTTTAGCATCCACTGTGATGGGCTGCACTTTCCTCTTGATGGCTGTGCCTGGCTTCTTTCTCTTGGGTTTCACTGGAGGAGTTCCTTGGTTAGCCCCTGCAACAGCAGCTGCAGTAACAGCAAATATGTTACACAGAACCATAGTTAGAAGATATGATAGAACATAAAGACCATGCTTGTGTTTTGAATGAAACTAAGGAACCTCAGGGGCATAACTGACAAAAACACCTACTACTGTGCATTAGAGTGGTTTTAATTGAGTGTACAAAGTAATCAGGCAATTACTTCGGTTTTGGTTTTAGGTTTGGGTTTACTATGGTTTGAGATTGGCTGAGTATAGTCTAATTGGTACATGTAAGTATCTGGTTTGGTTCGGTATTATGACACTCAGTTTAAAACCTCTCTAATGCTGAGGTGAAACACGTTTTACTACGAATGGTGTTCACGCCAGGCGATGAATTTCACGACAAAAAATTGAAACATGTTTATTCTGAACATAATATTATTGTAACTACAGTAATTCAAGAGGTAGTTGATCAGCTGATCTCTACTTGCCTAAGGAATAAGACATACTCACCTTTCGGTGCTGCCGCGGCAGCAGTAGCAGCAGCGACAGGTGTAGAGNAGACTGTGGACTGTAAGACCTCCCAGGACAATAGGAAATATGGGTTTACCTGGGTGAGAAGAAAAGCACAGAAAGGAAGCATTTTCAACGGTAGCTGTTTATCATTTTAAGTCCAAAAAACCTATACGGCCTAAAAGCTTCTAATTATCTGTTGACAACGTTTTTACACAAGATGCTACTATGAATCAAGTGACGTTCAATAGTTTCAAGGTTAGAGTAAGATCCTACTTGTTTGGTTGCTGGAATCTAACCAGCGATCTTGACAAGGACACTCGTAAATTTATATTCAGACTCTATTCGATCTTCTCCTCTCACCAAGTAGGCATACTATTTCTAGAACGTTTGTGTTAAACGACGATTACTACAAGTAAGTACAGCATAGAGAACACATAATCTATTTTTGTTTAGCTTTGTTACCTTTAGCATCCACTGTGATGGGCTGCACTTTCCTCTTGATGGCTGTGCCTGGCTTCTTTCTCTTGGGTTTCACTGGAGGAGTTCCTTGATTAGCCCCTGCGACAGCAGCTGCAGTAACAGCAAATATGTTACACAGAACCATAGTTAATAGATACGATAGAACATAAAGACCATGCTTGTGTTTTGAATGAAACTAAGGAACCTCAGGAGCATAACTGACAAAAACACCTACTACTGTGCATTAGAGTGGTTTTAATTAAGTGTAGAAAGTAATCAGGCAATTACTTCGGTTTTGGTTTTGGGTTTGGGTTTACTATGGTTTGAGATTGGCTGAGTATAGTCTAATTGGTACATGTAAGTATCTGGTTTGCTTCGGTATTACGACACTCAGTTTAAAACCTCTCTAATGCTGAGGTGAAACACGTTTTACTACGGATGGTGTTCACGCCAGGCGATGAATTTCACGACAAAAAATTGAAACATGTTTATTCTGAACATAATATCATTGTAACTACAGTAATTCAAGAGGTAGTTGATCAGCTGATCTCTACTTGCCTAAGGAATAAGACATACTCACCTTTCGGTGCTGCCGCGGCAGCAGTAGCAGCAGCGACAGGTGTAGAGTTTTCAGATTGTGCTTTTGGTTTCTTTGGTTTTGCGGGCTTCTTCTTTTCTTGTTTTGCAGGTTTCTCTTTCTCTTTTGCCCCTTCTTTGGCTGTTAATAGCAAAAAAGTGAATGTCATTACTTGTTTGCATTATACACTTGAAAAGAGACCAAGGCTGTCACAATAACGGCAAAAGATATTCCCATATTAGAACAACACCGCTCGACCTTGTTATCTCAAAACTAGGTAACCTTAAATTCTCCACATCTTGAACTCAAATCATTTTCCCTTGGATTCACTTTTTCCTTTTTTCAATCATTTACTGCATGGCTGTCTCGATCTTCTGCCATCTTATGTTATTTTACGTTTCCCTTGTACTTGTAAGTTCAAGATAGTGGGGTTCAACTGTATGTATGTAATATAAAATTGCATGCAAACCCCTCACTGTTAAATCACAGCTGCAGGGGAGCCGGTATGGCGCAGTGGTGAGAGTGGTGGCCTATCACTAATGTGGCCCAGGTTCAATTCTGAGCTGGTGCCATATGTGGGTTGGGTATGTTGTTGGTTCTTGCCTTGCTCTAAAGGTTTTGCTCCAGGCTTTCCGGTTTTCCTCCCACCTCAAAAACCAACACTCCAAATTCTAATTCAACCAGGATAGAGGACCTGCATGAAAACAAGCCAAGGCTGATGTGGTTTCCTCTCTAAATATTGTAATTTAGTATATACCACACAAGTGAATAGTACTTTTCGCGCACGCTGATTGGCTAGCTCAGAGGTGATTAGCCAAGTACTATTCACCTCCAAGCACTGCACGGCGCGCAAATTTTTTTGTTTGACCATTTGTCGGTATATTGTCACAAATAAAGTTACTCTTTGGTCTGCTAGTTACTTAGCTTGTGTGGTATATACTAAAGCAATCATTCACCTCAGTGTCAGTGAAAGTGGAGGATATTCACTGAACCGCGAAGCGGTGAGGTAAATATCCACTTCGGTGAATAATTGTTAATTATTTATTTTATTTACTAGTCAAGAAAACCTTAAGGTTTCCATTTTAAAAATCGAAACCACACAGCTGAAAAACAAGTTTCTTCTTCCTCTCCCCCAGACACATACATGTAAAATCACTTTAACACATCGATACAAACCTGCGCCATCTGCTGCAGCCTTCTGAGCTTTTGCCGCTGCAGCTGTTGCTGCTGCTGTCGAAGACTTTGGCTCCTTCTCAGCCTTTGGTTTTGCCGCTGCTCTCTTAGCCTTGACCTTTGGTGCCTTGGTCTTGTCCATTACAAATGGGGGGAGCATGACGGGCGGCAGTATGTCAGGTGGGAAGGGGCCATAGGGATTTGCTTGGAAGACCCCAGCTTCGGCAGCAGCTTGGTACTGGAACAGTCTCTTGAGAATGAACCTTGCATGGTAACAAGGAAGATTACAAAGACAATCCTGATTTATGAGGTCTGAATGTATTATCAGAGTAATTATAGCTTACCAAAAATCCAAATAACATAAACTGCAGGTCTAAGCATTTTAATTAGTGATCTTTTGATGGTGTTAAGTTGTTCAGTGTATTTTGTAAGACAGTCATAAATTGTACCACAAACAAAAAGTGTGNAAAGGTTTTGCTCCAGGTTTTCCGGTTTTCCTCCCACCTCAAAAACCAACACTCCAAATTCTAATTCGACCAGGATAGAGGACCTGCATAAAAACCAGCCACGGCTGATGCGGTTTCCTCTCTAAATATTGTAATTTAGTATATATCACACGAGTGAATAGTACTTTTCGCGCACGCTGATTGGCTGGCTCGGAGGTGATTGGCCAAGTACTATTCACCTCCAAGCATTGCACGGCGCGCGAATTTTTTTGTTTGACCATTTGTCGGTATATTGTCACAAATAAAGTTACTCTTTGGTCTGCTGGTTATTTAGCTTGTGTGGTATATACTAAAGCAATTATTCACCTCAGTGTCCGTGAAAGTGGAGGATATTCACTGAACCGCGAAGCGGCGAGGTAAATATAAATTATAGGTATAATTAATAATTATAGGTAAATATAAATTATTTATTTTATTTACTGGTCGAGAAAACCTTAAGGTTTCCATTTTAAAAATCGAAACCACACAGCTGAAAAACAAGTTTCGAGATACTGCAGAATCAAACAAATGCAAGGAAACTGACAACCAAAAATTGAAATAAAGAAAACGCCCTATTGACATTCATTCCAGTTTGATCTTCTCTCTTC